AACAGGAGATTCAGCTAAATCCGTTATAATAAAACTAAAGACGATCCTCGAGAGATACACCCATTTGCAAATCAATTTGGTTTTCATGGGAAACTCAGTTCTCAGCAACCTTGTGAGTAGTTTCCTTTATGAAAATATACTGCGATATCTCGAATACCGTGCCGACTGAATCATGAGGCGGCATGTGTGCAGCACATTCAGTTGGAGGACATCATAAACGAGAGATTCAGTTGAGTCTCTCACGAAAACCAAATTGATTTGCAAATGAGTGTATTTCTCAGAAACAGTCCAATTCCGGTTCACGTAGATCATAAGGTTGAGGGAAACTCGGGGACTGCGCCTACCTGATGAGCCCCAAGAAGGGCGAAACCGGTCGTAGGCTGTCGAAGAGTTTTCAGCATCCTTGTGAGTAGTTTCCTTTATAAAGACTATCCTGTGCAGCACATTCAGTTAAGGAACATAAACGAAAGATTCAACCGGCATTCTGTTGAATCTCTCACCAACACCCACTTAGTTTACAGGTGAGTGCATTTCGTCATCTGTGAGCAATTTGGTGTTCGAGTAGAACATAACGTCGTTGGAAACTCCGGAACCACACTTTCATTGACGCACAAGGAAGAATCCGGTAGTAGACTGTCGATGAGTTTTAAGCAACCATATGAATAGTGTTAGGTTGAGAAAATATGCTCTGTAGCTTTGTTTTACCTGAAGTGGGACGATCAGCAATACGCCCGTTTGATACTCAACTGTCCAACCATATTCCTCCGCTTCGTCAAATCCTATTGGTTTCAGTTTACATCAAATAATGCTAAATAGACCGAAATTTTTATGGTCGAGTCGCAGCACATATTGAAACTCGACATCAGATTTACCAGAAATTCCCATATGACCTTGATACAACAATCGAAACCAGTAGACAACATAAAAGGTTATAAAAGGTAGTAAACTGTTTGTTGGTGGAATTAATGCCAGCTTGATGTTTTTATGCAGCTCAAAATCGAGTACCGTACCGAGCATGACCTTTCGAAGAACGGAGAGAGCAAATGAAAACTGATACGCGGCTCCGTAGAAAGTTTGCATATGCGAATGTTTAGGCCTGCCCGCACGCCCATAGGCGATCACGCTGACTGACGCATGTTCAGAAAACTTAACCAACGGCAGTCAAGTCAGTCAAGCGAACGAATTATGTTGACAGTCTTTCTGGGGATTTATGTATTCCGGAATCGACCTCAATGACTCCTTCACAGCATATGATTTTTATGGAATTTCTGATTTCGCAAAAATTTTTGATTTTATGAAATTTGACCCCCTGAGAATCGGATAGGCAGACTACGCGATGGTCACAAGCATTTTAGCATGCCACAAATGAATTTTCGATCCACAATCCTGGTATCGAGCAACTACAGGAATATGAACGCATACCTCGTCTCAACAGATCATGGTGATGGGTGTCTTATTTATGTTGACATCCTTTCAGATAGTGAAAAAGCTGGCTTTGGATGGTCTATTGATGCAGGTCACGGGTTGATCAACCAACCAGATCAACTTGTCAACTTGTGCGAAGAGCTATCAGGCGTCAAGTGAAAGTGAGCTTGCGATCCGACCATGAAGTATGGTGGACACAGAAATACAAAGAAATGGGAGAGACCCAGAAAGCAGGTAATGCCCGGAGAGTATTTCAGTTGATCCGTGCGACCGGTCCCCGGAAACCACCTGTGAGTGAAACCATCGAACATCAGAATGGAGCGACCGTCTCGAACAAAGAAGAACGCCTCCACCGGTGGGCCGAATACTTCGAACAACAACTGTCGTGGCCACCAGCCGACACTCATCTAGAGCCCACAGGTGAAGTAGAACCCTGGACAGTGAACGTGGAACCACCTACGGCCTCGGAGGTTTACGACTGCATATGTTCTCTCAAGCACCACCGAGCTCCCGGTCCGAATGACCTCCCGCCTGCACTGTTCAAAGACGGGGGTGAAGTCCTAAGTCAGCGCTTGTCCGATCTGTTTGCTTGCATTTGGGAAAAGGAGTCTGTCCCAGACAACTGGGGAG